TCTGGGTCACAGGAGCCCTGGGTCCTCGGGAGGGCACCCTGGTCTTGAAGGGGAGGAGACGAGTAGCTGGGCCCCCTAGAGGGGCTGGGGTGCGGACAGGGAACGAGGCGCCTGGCCGGCTTCACCTGGGAGGGAAGTGGCTCTGAGCGAGCGGTGACCTTTGCCGCATGAACGAATGAATGACACCGAGCACAGCACGGTCCTCCTTCCAGGTGTTTCAGGCCAGGTGGGAAGGGGGTGGCCTACCCTGCCCCCTCGTTCAGCACCCGGGAGCCTGCTGCAGGTGGCTGACCACTTGTTTCACCTTGGCTGGCACGTGATCTAGGGAAAGCCATGGAACCTTCCATTCATAAGGTGCTTAAAGCATGGTGACGTGTCGGGTTCTTCGGGTTTAACCAGCAAAGATGGTCCCAGTTTCCAAGGGCCTGGGGCCTGGGAACTGTTCAGGACAAGGTCCCTGCTTTGAGAAGCCCTCAGCCTAGAATGGGAGAGAGGCAGGACCTTAGTGTGATAAGACCCACACCAGGGAGGGACAGGCGGACAGGAGTAGGGGAAAGGGGCTCCTCACCCAGGATGGGGGAGTCAGAAAACCCTTCTTACAGGAGAGGCCAGAGTCTTAAGGAATGAGTAAAACACGGTGGAATGAGAGAGAAAAAAGGGTGTTCCAAATGAGGAGGCGGCATGTGCCATGGTATGGAGGCAGAGTGAGGGGAGCCCCGCCCCCATCCTTCCCAGGGAGGGCGGTCGGCACCCTTTGGTTGGGAGCTGGTGCTTGGAACACTTTGGATGCCAGGAATAAATCCAATATCAAACTGGAAACTTACTGTCACCTGACCTCCCCACCCCTGTTAGTGACCAGAGTTTAAACCTTTAAAAAATGAACCCAAGCTGTCTCCTCAGATCTTGGACTGGACGTTGAAGTGAAGCTTAAGGGAACAGGGCAGAGGCCTGTGCGTGAGGAGGCAGAGCCCCACGCCCCTCATTCCTGTCCCAGCTCACCCTCAAGGCTGGCTCAGCAGGCTGAATGGAGCTTCACCTGGACGGAGGGAGCCTCCCCAGGACGGCTCCACCTTTCAGGTGTCCCTACCTCCCCGAAACTACCACAGGGCTGGGCGGTGACTGGCTGGGCGTGCCCCACCCAAGGAGTGGTGAGGAGGGGCCCAGTCCCCCACGATCAGCTGTCAGCCTCGTCATCGTCATCGCCTGTGCTCCAGGCTGCTGTCATCAGGCAAGCTGGAAGGCAGGTGGGGCCAGACTGAGGGTGGAGGGAGCTGAGAGTCAGGCCTCCGTTGCTATAGGAATAATCATCCTAATGACATGCTTGATGGCTGTCATGCTTTACAGTTTCTCTGAACTTTGCCTAATAGTCACAGTGCCCATTAATGGAATGCAAACCATGTGCAGGAGGTGGGAGTTTTTAGTCCCATTTTGTAGATGAGGAACCCGAGGCTCAGAGAGGTTAGTCCTTGTCTGAGCTCCACAGCTAGTAAAAGGCCTAACTAGAATTTGGACCCAGGTGTGACCTCAAAATCAGACCCCCAACATCATCCCTCACGTGGGTTACTGCATTCAGCTCTCAAACTGCAAGGTGGGCAGGGCCAGGGAGCTGCCTTCCCCATTTTATGGATTTGGGAACTGAGTCTTAGAGAGTGGCCACAGATTGTCTTAGGCCAGCAGGACCAGAGGCAAGATTTGATCTCCTGATGTCCAACCCAGCCTCACCCCACCTTATGCTTGTGCTCCTGCAAGAGGCAGATTAATCATTGGGCCATGGCCATCTGCCCGGTTGGTGAATTTTCCCCCAATCTTCTGGACCACATTGTTTTCCTGGAGTTTACTTTTGGATGGAGTGGTGCCCAGGTCACACAGTCGGCCTGGCCAGGGCACTGTTTACTATTTTGCTGTTTACTGTGGCCACTGTTGATTTTCAGCCTGTGGGTGACTCAGCCCCTCCAGGCCCCGCCAATCCTGAGCTGGGAGTCCTTTCTGAATCCAGCAGAGTGAATGACTGCCCCAAAGAAAACACGGGAGGAGCAGAGAGGCTGGACCAGCCCTCAGTCTTGCAATGCAAGGGACCAGATAGTATGGTTTAGCCCCAGCCAGGGCATGGCCACTTCAAGGGCGGGGACCATGGTAGACTCATTGCTGTGCTCCAGTGTGTGTCAGGTGGGCACGAGCTGTGGCTCAGGATGTTGTGTCCAAGGGAAGGCCTGGCTGGCTGAGCAAGGGGTGGGAGGAAAAGGATGGAGTGAAGAGGAAGAAGGCAGCAGGCAGGTGTGCTGGCGGAAAGGAACCAAAGCTTGCTGGGATGAGTGTGTGACACACCAGAGGGGGCCTGGCCAGGGCACTGTTTATAGACTGCTCCTCAGCCCCTTCCTGCTCCCCAGCTTCTGCCCCATTCCTGACACCCTGTCCCCACCTTCCTGAGTCTGATTCCCAGGAGTCTCTGCCTGTCCCAGTCGATTCTCTGCTGCCCCCGTGTGGTTTCTGCACTGCCATCACTGCAGTTGCCTGCTGGGCCTGGGGTTTCCCGCTTGGGATATGGGGTGTTCCTAGGTGCCTGAATGAGGAAGGAAGTGCAGGCCAGGGGAGCAGAGCCTCAGAGATGCCTGGGTCCTGCCCCTGGGTTACCTGGAGTGTAGCTTACAAAGCACTGGCTCCATACACCTCCTCTGGACCCTCCCCTCTCATCCCAAACTTCAGATCCTGGTGCTCAGCCTGAACTTCTTCACCCCAAACCTTGACCTCACATTTGCCACATACCTACTGCGTGCCAGGCACTTGGCCAGTGTCATCCTATTCCACCTGATGAAGCATGTACAATTCCTACACTTCTTTGACAAGTGGGGAAACTGAGACCCAAAGAGGGCAGATTATTTGCTCAGAGTCCCATGGCTGGTACATGGAAGAGCTGGGCCTTGAACCCAGGCAGCTGGGTTCCAGAGCCCATCCACACAGAACCCCCCAAAATCAGAGGTGTGGGGGCCTGATTTTTTTAAATATATGTTTTGATTTTTAGTTGTAGTTGGACACGATACCTTTATTTTATTTATTTATTTTTACGTGGTGGTGAGGATTGAACCCAGTGCCTTGCATATGCCAGGTGAGCGCTCTATCGCTTAGCCACAACCCCATCCCTTGATGAGCTGTCTTGTTCCATATCCTCATTCTTCAAGTGGAGAGACTGAGGCCCCAAGAGGGGAAGAAACTTGTCACACAGAAAGTAAGCAGCGGACCAGACCCAGGCTGATGGCAGACGGAACCTGGAGGACCTCTTCTTCCAAGCCCCCTTCGTCTGGCCTCCTCCAGGCCAGCCCCAACAGCCGTCCCTGCCGCCTCTTCCTGCCTTATTGGTGTTGGACTTTCTGGGAGATAGTGGGTCAGTAATGGGGTGGAGAGGCGGGGAGTCCTGTGATCCAGCTCAGTGCCACTTAGCCTTTTAGCTGGTTGTCCCTGTGGACGCATATAGCAAAGGGGTAGAAGAGAAGTGGGAGCCAAGGTCAACCAGGGCTGTGACAGTGGCTCAACCCATGCAGGCCTGGCCCAGGCCACGCTGCTGGTCAGGTCAGTGACCCCCACACCTGTCTCCTTTTGTCCCAGACAAAAGGGGCCTGGGACCCTGCAGGCCTGTGGCGGGGGGCTGGAGGATTAGGGGAGAGGAAGGGACAGGAGGAGAGGGGAGCCTGGGGAGGGGGTCAGAGAAGAGCTGGAAACCAGTCGAGAAGATCATGAGACAAGATGGGGAGAAGCAGCTTTTCCCAACCTGGGGGGACGCCTCAGTTTGTGTCCTGCTAAATGAACCCCAAACCTAAAGGAAGCCCAAAAGCCTCCTGCCTGCCCCTCACTGATCAGGAGCATTGTCGCCATTAAAGCTCCTTAGTGACCCCCACCCTCCCTCAGCGCTGCTTCCAATGAGGATGCCTCCCTGGCTCCGCACTGCCAGTACGACAAGGACCTTCTACCTGCCTAGGAAGCCTAAGTCCCCAGAGTCCATCCCCGGGGTTCTCGGGCCTCGGTTCAGGCATGTCCCTAGATGCGTGCAATACCTTTGTTCGGGCAGTTTGGGGCCCCCTCCCTCCTCCATGTACAATGCTGCCCTGTAAGGCCACGGCTGCTGCTCCCACCTGCTCCAGGAAGCCCTCCCTGGTCTCGGCCCTTTCGTGTCCCTGGAATAGCCTGTCTTCAGTCACCTCTGTCTGAACAGTTGACATGGGGCTTCCACAGAGCCTCCTGGTGGGACAGGCCTTCTGGGGGGTTCTGGGGATCCTTACCCAGCTCATCCTTTTCCATGCTTGTGGTCTCCCAGGGAGGGAGGGAATGGGGAAGCCAGAGAGAGCTTCCTGGAATCCAGAAGAACATATCTGCTGCCTCTCAGTCCCATCTCTGGGAGGTGAGAGAAAAGGGCAATGCTGCCTAGTGGTCAAGGGCATGGGTCCTGGGCCAGAGAGCCTGAACTGGAATCCTGGCTCTGGGACTTTCTGACTGTGCCATCTTAGGCTGGCTACCTAGCTTTTCTTGAGTTCTCATCTATGGAAAGGGGATGCCAACAGCACCTCCTGCTAAGCGCTGTGGGCTGCAGGCCAGGCACCAGCCCTCACTGAAGCGCAAGGCCCTCCCCCTCTCTGGGCCCCTCCCCATCTCCGGCTCTGCTCTACAAGGGTGGGGAAGTTGGCCCAGGTTGGCCCACTCCTGCCCTTGGCATCTGCTATTCTCTCTGCCGGGAATGCTCCTGCCTGATCCACCTGACATGCTTTTGCCCTGAGGGCTCCGCTGAGTGCCACCACCAAGGAGTCTTCTTAGATTTCCCATCACCACCCTCCCCTGCGAGGGTAGGCTTGGGGGCTCCTCTTCAGAGCTTCCCAAGCAGCTTGATGGCATTGGTCCTATCGATGACCCCTCAGCCAGGCAGAGGCCTGCCCCGCGTACCCAGCAGCAGGGGAAGCAGGGCGTGCTGTGACCCCACGAAGCCTGAGAGCCTGGTTCCTGCAGAAGAGATGAAGGTGATTTGGGGCCAGGCAGGGCTCCCTGGATGCCCTGCTTCCTGCCCCAGATTTATTTTGGTTCTAGAATCATTCCAGTCAGCATTCTCCATCGCCACCATGGCCACCTGGGTACACAGTCCACATGTCATGCAGTTAGAGGGAGGGAGAGGGGGAAGGAGCAGGTGGGAAGACATGGCCTGCACTGCAAAGCCAGGGGGTGTGTCCCCTGGCCCTGTGGTGCTGGCCAAGGGTGGACAGCCTGGCCTCAGGCTGGGTCCTGGTTGTGTTAAGTGGGTCCTGCCTCCAGCCCATGACCCTTCTGGGCACCTGTTCTAGCCACTCCTACCTCCATGTCATCAGCAGTAGCTGGTTGGACCTGGGTCTCCACAGCTCACCAGAGCTGAGGAAGAGGCAGTGCCCCTGTCATCTGTGGGTGGCTTCAGAGATGGCACTGCAGCTATGTACCCTGACCACCCTGCCCCCAGTCATCCCTTTAAAGCTACAGAGCTGCCTCCTCATCCTGGGACACCTGGAGGGGCAGGACACCCTCACTGCACCTGGGGATGTAGCAGCCCAGTCCCTTTGCTTCTGGACAGGACCCCGGGTTGGGGGTACCACTCCTCCCTCCAGAGCTTCTCCAGCCAATAGGCTGCAACTGGACGATTCCTAAAGCCACAGTGTTGGGGAGCTTGAGCCGGGATGCCCAGTGGTCTGGGCGTGGGAACCAGGCTACCTAAAGCTTCTCTCTTCCCCACAGGGCCCACGCTGAGGGACGCCAGCAAACATCTGGATCCAATGGCTGATTTGCATGGGAGCAGCATGAGGACCTGGGTCTGGGTCTCTGTGGACCTCTGGCTCCTGCAATGGATGAGGATAAAGGGAAGGAGATTTCACAGAGAATAATCCTGGAGCCTCCATTTGGCCCATAGACTTCGGTTTGGACCTGGTCTCTGGGTCTCTTCTACAGCCCCCAGAGAGGCCCATGTTGCCCAGCAGGGGGCTGAGAACCAAGTTTGTGATGGGAATTTCATGTCCTTGCCAGTGCCTTGCTGTGCCCCCTGCCTGAGACACTCAGGCTGCTCCTACCCCTAAGTGCAGCTCCTTCCTTGTCTAAGGGGCCCTCCAAGTTCCCCCAGCCCCCGGAGCCTCTCCCCAAGAGTCTGCTGTCATTTGGCACTAGGCAGATTACCTGGGGCAGGGGGATTTTGACTTCCTGATGGCCCAGGGACCTGTGTCTTGTTCGTGTTTCCCCTGCCAGTTCCTAGCACAGTGTCTGGCCCCCAAGACTTGCGGGGGGGGGTCCCAGTGCAAGGCTTGTCACTGGCCTCCCAGGAGGTGGGGGTGGGGCTTGCCAGCTCTGAGAGGCCAAGTCCCTGCACACCAAGGACAGGCCTCATGAGGATCTGGAGGTGGTGCACAATTGGCCAGTGTCAGCTGCCCCCTCTGGGCCCCGGCCCAGCCATAGCTGGTCCGCAGCAGAAGACCCTGGGTTCCCAGACAGAGGGTCCAAGTTGGCTGATGGGGACTCCCAGGGGTACCCCAGTGTCCGCAGCTCCAGCTGGTCAATGGAGAGGGCATTGGATAGAGCGAGTGGGCACCAGGCTCTAGAGGCTCCGCTGCCCATCTGGACTGCCCTGGCTGCTAGTTTCGCCGGACAGGGTGCCACATGGACACAGGCCTGCGCAGTGTGGCCAGCATCTGGTTCCAGTGTGTGGTGCCCATGCCACTGGCTGATGGCCCGATGATAACGTGGCCCACGTTGTCCCCACGGCCGTCACTGCTGCTCTCAGCCACCGTCACACGGAGAGATAGGTCCTGGGGAGGAGATGACATGGGTGCTGGGTTCCAGGAGCAGCCAGAGTTCCTCCTTGGCTCTTGGGTCCAGCCAAAGAATGCCAGACCCCATGAGGTGCCAGTGCAGCTCCCCAGTACTCACCTCTGATCTGGGGGGCGAGGGAACATGTCCCAGGTCGCCTGGCAAATACATGAGAGGCAAGGATTTGACCTAGATCTACCTAATTTCCACACAATGGCAGAACCAGACCAGGGGGTTCTAAGGCGGCCCAACTTCCCTGCTGGGCGAGCTTGGGCAGTGACTTGAGCTCTTCTACCTGTTCCTCCATCCATACAATGTGACAGCCGTCCCTACCCCCCAGAGCTGTTCCAGGGATGAAATGAGTTACAATGCCTGGAAAGGGGCTGCGGCCAGAACCTTGCAGGGGTCTCTTGTTTTCAGGAGTGTAATCATCCCCTTAGTCTGGCCATGGGGGAAGGGCCAGATGCTCCAGGTGAAGGCAGGAAGCCGAACCTGGAACCCAGCTGCCTGGCCCTCCTCCCCCAGGGGCCCTACAAAAGTCTCTTGCCCTTGGAGGCTATGAGTAGTGGCTCTGTGATAGCCAGGGGATAGCAAGGGCAATCTGTTCCAGGAGGGTAGCAGGGCTGTGATGGCCAGGACCGGCTGGAGATGCCACTGGAAACACCCACAGTGGGGAAGAGTTCTAAGTTTTCAAATTCAGATGGGACACCCTGGGTGGGGGAGATGAGGTAGCCTCTGCACAGCCCCAGAGCTATGGGGACAGGCTTTGACCCAAGGCACAGAGGACCTTTTCACTATCACAAGTGCCTAAGGATGGAAGGAGAAAGTGAGGGGAGAGGGTGGAGCCCCCATCCTCTGAGTCTTGTAAGCAGAGCCACCCATGGGCGCAGCCTCCCCAGCTGTGGTCTGTGACGGCCCTACTGGGAGAGGTCTCCCTACAGCATGTCATTCTCTGGAAGCTATGGGGGTGTGGGGTGCACAGCAGGGCCTCTGCTGTAGAATTCCAAGAGAGCTAGGGCTAGAACTCTGGGCCCTGGGGGACCCCTACCTGTCTCCGGGCCTCCAAAACTGCCTGCACTGGGATCTGTCTTCCCCCAGGCCTGGCTGAGTGATGCTAAAGTCCAGGATGCATTTAATGATTAACGTTGTCTGCGGACTTTCCTGTCTTTTGTGAGCACCAAGAAAACAGTGCCCCTGTCCCCAGAAAGCAGTGCCCATGTCCCCAAACATCCCCTGCAGGGCTGGCCCCCAGTGGGAGCTCAACATGAGCTTCTCAACTAGAAAGATGATGACTTGAGGCAAATCATTTCCACCTCCAGGACCCCGAGGGCCACCGTGGCCCCACACCCTCACCTGGAGCACAATGGCTGGCACCGAGAAGATCATGGCTTCGTTGAACACTGGGTTGGGGTCATCCCTCTTCACGGCTGTCTTCTTCTTGCTCATCTTCCTCCCATCCTGCAGCAGGTACACCTTCACAAAGGGGTCTGCAGGCAGGTTGGATGGAGGGTGAGTGCTGGCGCCACACTTGCTGGCACAGCCCTGCCCACTCTGGCTCGGCCCACTGACCCCAACACCCAACCCTCTGCTGTCAAAGTTGTCTCCACCAGCCCTGCCACTGGGGTTCACTTGTTCATTCATTTATAAGAGATGGGGTCTCCTTGTATTACCCAGGTTGTCTCCAGCTCCTGGGCTCAAGGGAGCTCCTGCCTCAGCCCCTAATCCAAGCAGCTGGGACTACAGATGTGCACCATGGCATCTGGCTCTATTATTTTGAAGCACTGATCTTTTTTTTTTTTTGTGTGGGGCAGATGCTGGGGATTGAACTCAGGACACTTGGCCACTGAGCCACATCCCCAGCCCTATTTTTTATTTTTTATTTAGAGACAGGGTCTCACTGAGTTGCTTATTACTTCACTTTTGCTGATGCTGGCTTTGAACTTGTGATCCTCCTGCCTCTGCCTCGAGCTGCTGGGATTACAGTGTGCACCACCATGCCCGGCTGGCTCTATTATTTTGAATCTCAACTTTCAGGTGACAGCATTGAGGCTCACATGGCAGGTCAGGAGAGGGCTGGGCCCTGGACTCTGGTGGCTGGCCTCGCAGCCCACATATTCATATAGGAGCCTGGCAGACTCACCACTTTCCATTCTATAAATGGCCTGAGAGCAGACGTCAGCCCTGAGTCACCAGGTGCCAGCGCAGCAGAGCCTAACAGTGTGCTGCTCTGAAATACCAAGTCACTGACTGCCATAAACCTCGCCCACCAGGCAGTCTTGCTGCACCTGCCTGGACCTGGGCAGTCCCAGGCTTGCAACTCCCAATAGCCAGGAGCCCCCAACCTTCTGTTCTTTGGCTATTCATTGTAGCTGCCTCCACAGGTTCCTGAGTTGAGAGGGGCTCGAAGCTTCTGTAAGCTGGGACATTGGGTCCTGCCTGGCAATCACCTGGAGCTTCCATCATGAACTCTGGTTCTGAGAGCAGGGGCAAACCTTGGTCCCAAGTGCTGGACCCCAGCTGGATTCATCTTCCCACTGTGCCCAGATCCTGGGCTCAGCAGAATTCAGGGTGCTTTGGCCCTGTCCCCAACCCTGCTGATGCTGCCAGGTGCCCACAGCACAGGGGCTGGGCCACGGCTTCCCCTGAGCCCCCAGGAAGCCAGTAGGGACTTACCTGCTGTGGTCTTGTCGTTGGTCCAGATAAGATTCTTGGCCTTTACCACCACCACGGTGAGGCGCTCAGCTGTGGGCAGGTAGCTGAGGGACAGCAGGATCTCTCCCACTGCGTCAGCAGCCTGGGGGACAGGGGTGGCTCAGAAGGCTTCTGACCCTAGGACCTGAGGGGCCCAGGGAAAGACAGAAGCTTCCTTCTCCATTGAAAACTTGTTGCTTTTGGGGGCCCTTTACGGCTGGGCATCAGGTTGGCAGGGTCAACTATGGGACAGTCCCCCCCCCAACACCATGGAGCATGCCCCAGTCCTCCTCCCGTGGAAGGAGGTTCAGAAGTTGCCTATCAAACATATCCATCAAATGCAGTTTTGTTCCCTCATTCCAGGCCAAGGAAAGCATTCTGTGACAGTAGGGCATCGGGATCCTAGTAGAAAGGAAGTAAATCATTTGCTTTACAACAATAATGTTCCATTGGTAGTCTTACATTTATAAAAGTAAGATTCAGCTTGGCCTCTGTCCGAAATAATCCACTTTAGGGCCAGAGGTGTGCATCCCTAACGAAGGCTTGCAGGAGGAGAGCCTCTGAAGGCTTGACGGTAAGAGCAGAAAGAGCTGTAAACAGTGGTGAGAGTGTAAACAGGATGCAGAAAGCAGAGTTTCCCCAAATGTAACTCAGGTCTCTTCCTCTGCTCTCCTAATGATGTTGGGGTTCAGGGTGTGAAGAAAAGACAGCAGAATCCTTCATTGGAAGTGTATGTGTGTGCGCTGTCGCCAGGAGGGAACAGGCAGGACGAGGCAGGTGAGAATTACCTTGTTCTGGTCCTGTAGGTAGAGCCAGCCGCTGAAGGGCTGCAGGGGCAGGTCCAGTACCGAGAGCTTCAGCTCTACCACCCCGGTGCTGACGTTCCTCTCATCCTCGTCAATGCCAAACACAGAAAACCGCAGGCTCTTCTCCTCCAGGGCCGTGGGATCCAGCGGGATGGAGAACTTCTCATCGAAGAAGATGGAGTAGGCATTCCTCTGGATCTGCAGAGAGGGAGAGGGTGGCTGAGGAGGAGGGTGGCAGCCAGGGGCCTGAGGGGCCACAGTAGTGAGAGAGCATTGGACAGGGAGTCCAGAGACCCGGGGCTCTCTTGTCCCCACAATCTCAGCATCACTGTTCCTTTGACGGCTCAGCCCTGAAGGTCTATGAGCCACACATCCTTCCTCAGTGGTGTGGCCTGCCCTGGCATCTGTAGCCTCCACAGTCTGATCCCAAACCATCCCCGTACTCAGTGCGTGTAGCCCCACAGAGCCCCTTGCGATGCTCTGACTGAACTGGTTGCCATCTTTCTTGCATATGCTTGGGCCCAGCCCTGGGCCAGGCGTGCAATGGCAGGGTGGTGGGGATGTCTGTGGAGTTGGGAGCCACAGACTCCAGCCCCCTGCAGAGACTGGCCCTGCTGCCCGAGCCCCGCAGGACGGATGGAGGATGGATGTGGATGACGGGCAGATGGGTGGAGTGACTAAGCAAGGCTAGGCAGGCTTCTAGCTCAGTCCTGTCTAGTGGGTGCCGTTGGCCTTCTCCCAGGAAGCCGCGGGCAGGCCCCCTGGGAAGGTGCTCTCCCTTCTGTGGGGGCTGCCTTAGTCACTGCCTGGCAATATTTAAAAGAAGAGTTCTTATTCCTGGCATCCTCTTGGCAGCTGGGGGCTGCCCAGCCTGGAGGAAGCAACCTCGCGGGATTGGCTGGGCTGCGAGGCTCTGCCTCCCACCTTCCTAGGAACAAATCCTCCACCGCCTCCAGCACTGTGACCACACTCTCCTGCCGCTGCCTGGTGCTCCCCGGGAGCCCCGTTGCCCACACAATCCCCTACTCAAGCCTCTAAGCATTCAGTCAGCCTCTTAGCTGACCCCTGCCCGTAGGGATTTGGGTTCCCAACTATTCACTCCCAGAGCAGTGTGTGGAGGGCCCCATGGTAGAGGCTGAGAACCCTGGGTTCTAGTCCCCAGTCTCCAGCTTAGTTGCTGGGGTTGGTTGTCCTGGGCAAACTCTTTCCAAGTCTGGGCTCCTCCTCTGTATGATGCCCTAATAGTTGGCCCCGTTGGCCCAGAGGGCTCACGAGAGAACCAGGAAGGAGCTGGGCTCTGGAAGCAGGTTCTCAGCACCCACCAGGCTGTTCACCAACAGCCTGCCTTGGAGACCAGGCACAGGTGGGTCAGAAGGTACTTGGTCCTGAAAGTCCTCAGGCTCCTCTCACTCTGGTGAGAGGCCACTATGTGTGGCCCTCATCCATCTCCTGGCATTGGTGTCTAAATGGATGTCCTCCAAGGTACTCTTGGAGGGCAGGCTGAGGCCTCCCCTGGCCACTCCCTGTTGACTCTTTCTGCTTCTTTAATCTACTCTCAGCCCAGGAGCTGATCTCCATGGATTCCCTTGGCCTTTGGCTTCCTGTCAGGTCAGTGCCTGGGGTCAACAGAGAAGACTGGAGGTCAGAGGAAGGTCAGAGTGCTTGTTCCCTGAAGTCCTTCTCTGTAGTATCCCTGGGCTGACCATGTTGGCCCTCTCCACTGGTCCCCCCTCTTCCTTTCAGACCTAGGGTACCATACCCTCCCCAAGGCTGCCCCCTCCCTACCCACACCACTGCAAATAGCCTTGTCACTAAGCCTTCCCCAAATTAGCCAAGTGAGCATGTCACCCCTCTGCTGCCAGGCCCGTGTTGACGGACAGACTTGGAGGTGCAGGGGCCTGCACACTGTGGGGGCCTCACATACTCCCCTTCTGCCTGCAGGACCCCCTGCATCTTTGGCCCTGGATCAGCACCAGACCCACTCTCTAGCGCCCTCCAGGGACCCTGCCTGGCCCTGCAGTGTGGCCTCCGCCCCCGCCCCCCCAGCCCCACTTACCCTGGAAATGCCCACGATCTGCTCGTCGGGCAGCAGGCTCACGCGCATGAAGCAGGACTCGAAGCTCGCTTCCTCGCGCTCCAGGAGGTCCTTGCCCTGCAGCACGGCCACGTGGAGGGTGTGGGAGGCTGGGTCGTAGTCCATGCTCACCTCCACCTGGCCCAGCGTGAAGTCCTGCCCGAAGGTGTTGCTCACGGAGGAGACGGAGTTCAGGGAGTCGGCCGACTGGGATTTCCGGAGGGTCCCATAGGGGGCCAGGTCCAGCTCGCGGCCCATCAGCTCCAGCGGCCCCAGCTCACTGATGGCCTCAAAGTTGTCCTCGATGCTGAGGCTGCCCTTGCGACTGGGTGGTCCCCGAGTCCTGGCCCGCTGGGTGTTCCAGGCAGGCATTGTCTGGAGGTGAGAAAAAGGGACATAGGAACTTCACAAGGGCCACAGTCGTGGTCTCTAAGAGGCAGCAAAGAGACGTGGAGGGTGAGCACCGTTCAGGGTACTTTCTTGTTCCCTTTCACAAAAACAGTGCATCCCCAGCCAGGAAGGTCCTTGTTTAGTGCTATTTTATGTCACTTAGAATTTTTTTCTTTTACCATAATATCAGGAGCTTTTCCTCAGTATGCTTATTATAGGGACAGAATTCTACATATAAAGATGTTAAAACTGGGAGCAGTAGTGCACGCCTGTAATCCCAGCGACTCAGGAGGCTGAAGCAGGAGGATCACAAGTTCTGGCCTGGGCAACTTAGTGAGACCCTGTCTCAAAAAGAAAAAAAAAAAAGGACTGAGGATGCAGCTCGGTGGCTGAGTACCCCTGGGTTCAATCCCCGATATCCCCTAACCGTGTTCGAGATGTCAACTACAATGATTTTGTTTGTTTGGAGTACTGGGGTTTGAACTCAAGGGCACTCGACCACTGAGCCACATCCCCAGCTCTATTCTGTGTTTTATTTTCAGACAGGGTCTCACTGAGTTGCTTAGTGCCTTGCTTTTGCTGAGGTTGGCTTTGAACTTGTGATCCTCCTGCCTCAGCCTCCCGAGCTGCTGGGATTACAGGCTTGCATGCCATGCCTGGCTTACCATGGTATTTTATTATAAAAGAGAAGAGCAGTCAGTAATCCAACTGTCCAACAGAGGAGAATGGGTAGGGACAGTAGGGTGTAGCCACTTAACAGATGATTGGATAGCCTCAAAAGGTTACAAAAAGTTTACAGCACTAGGGAGATTTCATGCTGGGTGACACCCAAACATTTGAAATTTTCTTTTCTCTAAATTAACCTCAGGATTTGAGGAAGCAAAAGCCTGTATATCATGTCTTTGTTAACATAATTTTTTGTGGCTCCCAAATTTTTCATTGAGCAGATAGGCATAATTTATTTCACTAACCCCCTATTATTGGAAAGTTTTATTGTTTCTAATTTTCACAAATGCAAATAACATATTATCACACAGCTGTCTTAAAATCCTGGCCCAGAGGACAATCCTTTTTGAAGGTTTTTTTTGGGTGTGTGTGTGTGTGTGCACGCGCGTGCACGTGTGTATATGCTGGGGATTAAACCCAAAAGCGTCCTACCACTAAGCCACATCCCCAGCCCTTTTTATTTTATATTTTGAGACAGGGTCCACCTAAGTTGCTTAGGGCCTTTCCAAGTTGCTAAGGCTGGCCTGGGACTTTTTGCCTTGTACGTGCCAGGTGAGCGCTCTTCCTCTGAACCCCAACCCCAGCTCCTGGCCTGGGACTTTTGACCTCCCGACCTTAGCCTCCCGAGTCACTAGGATTACAGGTATGGGTCACTGGGCCTGGCTGAAGGCTTTTGACATGTTTCAAAATCCTCTTTGGAAAAGTTGTCCCAATTTATAGTCCTCCCAACAGAAAATGAGATGGTCCTCCTGGGCACCCCAAATGAGAAACTCCAATCTGGTAATAGATTCATGATATGTTGTCTGGAACTCTACATGACATTTGAATAATTGTCTGCCAAATGTTAAGTGACGAAACATTCAGCAATATGTACTGATAGCCTTAAAAATGTTGTACCTCTTGATAAAGTAATTTCACATCTGGGCATCTATCCAAAGTCCATTATCCCAAATGAAGATAAAGTTTTACATACAAAACATCCACTGCATTATTTATGAAGGCATTTAGTAAACCATGGCACAAGCACAAAAAGAGGAATCATATGCAGCCATTAAAATGATGCTTACAATGACTGTTCAACCAGAGGGAAAACACCGCAGCTGCAAGTGAGGTGGAAAGAACAGGGCGTAAAAACCCAGGGAGATACGAAGCACTTTGTATAGAAAGCTTACATGGAAAATGACTAAGGGAGTCAAACCCAGTGCTGCACACCTGTAATCCCAGAAACTCAGGAGGCTGAGGCAGGAGGATTGCAAGTTGGCGACCAGCCTCAGCACCTTAGTAAGACCCTGTCTCAAAAAATATAAAGGGGGCTGGGGATGTGGCTCAAGCGGTAGCGCGCTCGCCTGGCATGCGTGCGGCCCAGGTTCGATCCTCAGCACCACATACAAACAAAGATGTTGTGTCCGCCAAAAACTAAAATAAATAAATATTTTTTAAAAAAAGATTCTCTCTCTCTCTCTCTCTCTCTCTCTCTCTCTTAAAAAAAATATAAAGGATTAGAGCATTCCTGGGTTCAAAATAATAGTATAATTTAAAAAAAAGGAGAAGAAGAAGAAGGAAGAGGAGAGGGAGAAGGAAGGAAGAGAAGGAAAGAACTAATGGGGATAGATTAAAAACATTGAAAAAATACATCAAAATGTTAGTTTAAAATAGTTAGTTAACAGTAGGGTGTGTCATTTGAAGAGATGTTTTCCTTCTTATTATATTTATGTATTTTTCTCAGCATGGTTTTGAAAATAAAAAGCATTCATTCATTCAAGCATTTGTTGACTCCCTGGCACTGGGCGGGGAGTTGAAGAGCTTCTCCATCCAGAAGAGTTGACCAAGAGGGGGCAAGAGAGGGGAGGCACTGGAGGCCGGTCCTGAGAGTGGACCTTGGGGGAATGTACCTGAAGGAGCAGAAACCTCACCTTTGGCCTGGCCTCCACGGAGGTCTCGCCATACTTCTGCTGAAGGTACCTGTAGTCATAATTTGGGAATGGGGAGGGGCTGGGGAAGCTGCCCGATGTCCAGAGCTTCCACAGGCTCACAGCTGCGATTCCCAGCAGGGCCAGGGCCCCTGCAGCGTAGACTCCCACCTCCCAGCCAGGGGGGCTCTTGATGACTGTAAGGCAAGGGCAGCCTCTCATTAGTGGGGTGCAGTGGTCCAGACCCCCACCCAGGAAGCAGGTGCTCAGTATTGATTTATTCATTGAGTGAATTGTTATTGAGGGCCTACTGTGTGCAAGGCTCAGTACTCGGTGCTAGGATACAGTGCTCAACAGGACACACACTTTCTTGAGGTATCTGTTTCTACCTCCTTTGGACACAAAAACATGTGTTTCTACTGCGGAGACACTTGGACAGAGCAGATGAAGAGCTGTGAAGGACGGTCACATATTCCTTAGGCTCTGACAACCATTCTCAGACCTCACGGCCTTCATAGGACCTCTTGCTTCCAGAGTCAAAGCAGCATTTAGGGGTCTGAGGGAAGAGGAAGGAGATTTGGGGGAGACAAAGATGATCCTGTTTTTGCCTGAAGCCTCAGCCAGAACAACCCATCAACTGATGATGGAAAAACAAAGTCTAGTGCATCCCGACCACTAGGATGCTATTTGGCAATACGAAGGGAAGAAGCGTGGATACCACAACATCCTAACGCGAATGAACCTTGAAAACATCATGCGGAGCGAAAGCAGCCAGTTGCAAAGACCACGTGGGGAGTGATTCCGTTCACCGCCAGCCTTCTGGTCTGTGGGTTCCACATCTGTGGACTCAACCGATCCCAGATGGTGTGCTGTGTGGTAGGCCTGCGATGGTACCAAACAGGCACAGACTTTTTTTCTTCTTGTTCCCTAAACCACACATCATAACAACTATTTACACAGCATTGACATTGTAATCTCAAGATAATTTGGAGGATGTGTGCAGGTTATGTGCAAATTCTACGTGGTTCTATATTAGGGACTCAGCATCCGTGGATTTGGTACGTGAGTCCTGAAGGAATGCCCTGAGATGGCAGGGTACATGGGTATAAGGAAATATCTAGGGGAAGTTGGGCAAATAGGGGAACTTGGGGGAAATAGAGTTTCTTTTTGAGGTGTTAAAATATTCTAAAAATTGATCATGCTGCTGGTGGTACAATATACTAAAAGCCACTGACAGTACACATTAAGATGGGTGAATTAGGCTGTATGTAAATCTTATCTCAATAAATCTCTTGCCCCAAACCAACAAATCAAGAAGCCAACTCAGCCAATGTGAAAGGATCTCAGAGCTGTGGAGGGCTTGGAGACAAATCCAGATGTCCAGAAACTTTCCTCCATTGATGAGTTCATAACTTTCCCTGACTGCACTTCACTGTCTCCAGCGCTCCCTCAACCATGTGTGCTGGGTCCTGCCCAGCGCCCTGTATGGCCTCCGATGCCCAAACAGAGGCCGAAAGGTGAGGCCTCACTTGCTTGCCGACCCGGCCTTGCTTTCCAAAGAAAGCAGACCAGACTCTGGAATTCACTGGGCAGGAGCTCACACTATTGTCAAACACAGTTCTCTAGACTGTTGTCAGTTCTGCCTCTGCACCCAGCTCAAATAGGGAAACTGAGGCATGGAAAAGACTAAAGAACCTGTCCAGGTCACAGAGCCAGGAAGGGGGTGGTGCCGGGATTCCCACTCTCGTAGACGGATTCCAGAGCAATCGAGGTAACCACTGCCCCACCCAGCCTCCACCTGTCCTAGCTCTCTAGAAGCAAGCTGAAGAGACAGGGCAGGGCATTTCAGAGGCAGAAATGGATGACTGAACATTCACTGAGCACCTACTGTGTGCCAGCACCCTGTGGACGGGGGGTGGGGTGGGGGGGGGACCAGGGCTGACGAATCAACCCCAGGCCCTATCCCTGTACTTAAGTGGCTCACAGTTAGGGCATGGGTGGGACAGGGAAATAAGAAAACAAAACGGGGTGCCTGCTGTCATGCCCGGGGCAGCCCAGGAAGGTTTCCTGAGGGAGAAACAAGAAGGGGCTAAGTCAAAATGTCAGGGCAGGAAAGATGGAGGAGGTATGAAGAACCCAGAGTGAGCAGAGGGCCCAGTGGGAGGAAGGGGGGCCCTGGGGACTGGGGGAGGCCCCTTACCCTTGCTTCCCCAAAGCCAGCTGCACAGGAAGGAATCAGGCAGGGCCACTTCTAGCAGAATCCGCCCTCTCTGGAGAGGGTCAGGGCCCAGCCCAGACCCCACATTCACCAGCAGTGAGCACTCTATCAGGTCCTTACCTCCACTTGCAGAGGAGAACTGAGGCAGAGAGCCCCCCCACCCCGCATGTCTACCCTGCTGCTCAAGGCCACAGACTTCCCAGGCCAGCCACCCAGCCTCTCTGGGCTTCAGTATCCTCATCCAGAAACTGGAGATGGTGATAAAAACACCCCCTATCTAGTGGTCCCACCCTGGTGTGTGAATTCTAAGGGGAAAAAAATCCCAACAAGTTTTATGTGAGGTGTGAGTCATGAGGCTGTATTTATAACAGCAGAAATCTGGAAAGAGCCTGCAGGGCCCACCAAGGAGGCTGGTGGGGGCTGTGGTACTGTCATGGGAGGTAATGTCACTGGCCTTCAAGAATGACAAGTGAGGTCATTAGGATGGCCTGTGGCAATGCAGAGAAACATTGGCAGCCTTGTTAAGAGAGAAAATAAAAAATCAATCCCAGCATGATATAATCATGGGAGATTTTGATGTAAAAACTCAGCTGGTAATGCACACGGCCGTGCAGTCCAGGGGGGAACAGAGAGACCAGGTAGTGGGGTTGAGGGGACAGGGAGCAGACCTGTTTCCTCCTGACTGCTGTTGATACAATCTGTGGTTATCAAACCACAAGCAAGAGCTCTATGGAGGGTCCCAGGCCCAGCTGTGACAAAGTTCTGGAGTGTTCTTGGAGTCTGGTAAACAGGGGACGGGGCAAGAAAGTGCCTGGTAGACTGGAGAGGGATGTACACCTGTCTCAGCTGGGCCACAGCAGGGCCGGCAGCAGCAGGGGACTGGCACAGGGTGGGAAGAGAGGCCCAGGGACGTGCAGGCTGTGGGCAGGGCCAGGGCAAAGCAGAGTCCGCTTCCCTGATTGGAGGAGCTAGGTGCTGAGGGACTGAAGCCCCAGCCCTGGTTGGCAGAATAGTGGAGCAGGGGTGGGGCAGAAAGGAAAAAGTCCAGGAAGGTGACATGGAATGACAATGAATTCTCATTCATTGGTTGATTTCATGGAGTGCCAGCCTCAAGCGCAACAGGGGAAGACTTCCCACAGGAAAGGAGGTCTAAACTAAGACCGGAAACAGGGAAGGAGAAGAGGAGGAATCACAATAATACCCGCCCATGAAGCTCTTGCTACTGATTATCTGCCGGGCCCCGTTAAAGCCCTTCTCTATATTGACCCATTCAGTCCTCAGAAGAGTCCTGTGAGGCAGGTTCTATTATTATACCCATTTTATGGATAAGTAAGTGGGGGCTCAGAGAGGTTTCCTCACTCACTCAAGGCCACCCAGGGGTGAAGGCCTCTGAGCCTGCAGGTGAACAGCGAGCAGCACTGGTTGGAGGGTGGGAGTGGAGGGCCTGACATGCCCTGAAGCTCATCCCTGGTCTTGTGGGGGTCTGTGTAGGGCAGGTGTCTGGGTAATGGGAAGCACTGAGGCTCACATCTCCCACTGGTAGGGGAGCTGAGGGAGAAAAGATGGCAGATCCACCATTGGCGTGGGAGAGGAAAGCTGAGCCCCACACGCTGGCCAGCCCAGCCAGGCCATCTGAGCCTCGTGTTCCCTGAATCTCACGTAGACCTTCCTGGGTCCCCTCTCACTTGGCTACTTGACAGGCTCCAGGAAGGGCCATGGGGTGAATGGGTTCCCTGTCACAGGCCATCCTCAGGGAGCAGCTGGACAAGGGTCACCCAGGGTCCCTCAAGTCAGAGGGAGTGGAAGATGGGGAGCCTTCTGGTGGGTCCCAGCACAGTGACCCCAGACTGTTGGCCTGAGCAAGTCACCAACTGCTCTAACCAGTTAGACAGGGCTGGCTGGTAGTGCGTCCCTCTGACAACTCCCACCTGGGCCTGCTGTGAGGGTCTCATGGGATGGCCTGCAAGGGTTTGCTGGGGACTCACCGCTCAGGTGGTATTCTGCCACGTCTGCCACATCCACAGCCATGATGCCCCTGCAGTGGCTGGAACTGGAAGGGAAGAAGGAGTCAGTGCTGAGGGCTGCAGAAGGTCACCAGCCCTGACCCTATGTCCTGCCTCTGCGGCACCGGTGCGCCCATCACTCAGAGCTGAGCTTGGCTAAAGGTGTTTTGTTTTTTAATGATATTTGAAAAAAAAAAAAGGTGTTTAGTTCTCTTTGCAAGCGCGCTAAGACCTCATTTCAGGGTTGCCAGATAAAGCACAGGATGCCAGCAGATCTGAATTCAAACGAACTTTTAGTATAAGTATGTCCCAAATACCACATGGACATACTTACGCTGACCAATTACAGTTGTTCATCCTGTACTTCTGTTTGCTCAACCTGGCAGCCCTACCTCATCTTCATCTTAACACCGGCTGGCTGTCGAGCAGAGACTCCAGGCTGCTCACTGGAGGGGCTCCTCAGAGCGTTCACAAGCCTCACCTCCGATGCTTCTGTCAAATTTGGAAAGAGAAAGTCTGCATTTCCTCCATATTCTGTTCTCAGTCCTTCCCCTGCATGGGATGGCTTCTTCCCCACCCCACCCTCCACCTCCAGGTCTTATGAACTACCACTGAGGTCTAAGTTATTCTAGAAAGGCCTGAGAGCTCAGACAAGCCATTACCTGAGCCCGGACCACGGCTCACTCATTTATTAATATTGTTGCTAAGTAGTACATCTGGCTCCCAGATGCGTTCTAGGTGGGTGGGTGGGGAGAGCTCTGGAAAAGGGACACTAGGATGGGCTGTACTGATCTCAACTCAAGGGCACAGAAGGCCTGAACAACGCACCTCCAAACTCTGGGTTCCCTTGAAGCCCAGAAGTGTCTACACCTCAGGAAGCCTCAGGCAAGTAAGGGGGCATGAGTGAGAACTGCAGAGGGCCTGCCTGGCTCCTGGGCAGCAACCCTCCCAAATAGTGGGACTGCCTCGCCATCACAGCTGGGTCTCCTGGCTCTTGAAAGAAAAGCCAGATGTTTGGATTTTTTTTTCAGTGTGTATTTTTTAAAATTATTTATTGATTTACTGAGACAGAGTCTCACTGTGTTGCCCAGGCTAGTCTGGAACCTCTGGGCTCAAGTGACCCTTCTGCTTCAGGCTCTCAAGTAGCTGTAACTATGGGTGCTCGCCACCACACCTGGCTTCCTTATTTTGAAATGTTGCAACCCTCTCACAAAAATCGTCCAGGCGCAGTGTAAAAGGCTCTCACCAGTTCCCAACCATGCCAAGCATTCTGTAGGCTCCATTTGGAACCAGGGTCAAGACAGAGGGTGAAGCTTAGACACTGGGTTTTTATTATTATTATTATTATTATTAGATGTTGATGGGCCTTTATTTTATTCATTTATTTTTATGTGGTGCTGAGAATCAAACCCAGTGCCTCACTCATGTTAGGTAAGCACTCTACCACTGAGCCCTAGCCACGGCCCAAGACACTGGGTATTTTTAGGAATCCTGGGGGCCTCCCCATTCTGTGGCTTTGGAGCCAAGAAGCTGGGGTGCCTTGGTCTAATCAGGGTTCTCCAGCATGTACGCAGCTGCCACAAGCCCTTAGCAGAGGACCTCACCACGCAGGGCAGATGAGGGCACACAAAGGACTCCTGGCTCTCCTGCTCTCCTGAAGCTGCCCCCTCTCCTGGTGAGATGAGGGTTGTCATGGTGATGGGAGGCAGTGCTTAACCAGGAAGGCTTCACCCACCCTGCCTTGAGACGCAGTGCATCCCTGGGTCTTGGGCTTGAGATAGAGCTCAGAGCTGATCTCAATAAGCGCTTCTCACAAGCACAGTCCTGAGCATTCTGCATACTCTGACCTCACTTAACCCCATAACAACCCCGAGAGGTAGGCACTGTTGTCACGTCTGGTTTGTAGAGGAGATTGTCAGTGGGACTTCAGGCCAATTCATTCTGGCTCCAAGTTCCTAACCACTGTGTCTCTCCACAGGGGGATACATGGTTACAAAAAAGTTGCCTAAAACCTGCAGGTCAAATGGATCCATGTGAACAAGCCAAGCCCAAGGTGGCCCGGCTGCTGGTGGAAAGAGGTCTAGACACACTGAAACACAACGAAGCACACACATCCCAGCCTGCGGCTGCCTTGCTGGGAATCCAATAATGCCATGGGCATGCCTTCCTGCTCACTGGGCACAAGCTGGCTTGGCAAGAGGGCGGCCAGGCTGGTGCCAGTCAACGCCAGCAGCACAGTGGTGAGGTACATGTGGCAAAGATACACCCACAGCACAGTATGAATGGCACAAGGTAGAACCTGAGGCTGTAACTGGCCTTTGGCTGTTGGGGGCTCCCTGTCCAGCCAGACCCCAGAATCCTGAAAGCCCACCTTCCCGCCTCCCCTCATCACAACAGCTTGCCTGGGAGTTGTGACTTTGGGGAGGGCATGAATGCTCACTGTGGTCTGCTGTGGAGGGTTAGAAGCCTGGCCTGCTCCAGGACTCCTACTCAGCTACTCCCAGCTTACTCCAGATCTGCCCTCTTGCTGGCTCAAGTGGCCTTGGGCAATTTTCTTAGACTCCCTCTAAGCCTCAGTTGTCCCATCTGTGAAAAGAATTCATGACTGCCCTGTGTGTGTGACTGGGATGGGTAAGTGTGGTAAGGCTTAGCAAGTATTTGCTGCTGGGGTTACTGGCCTGGCCACCATCCGACAGGCCCCAACCCCTCGTCTGGTCTGCGCAGTAGAATCACATGGGTGGCACTGTCAGCCTGTGGCTGTTGTTACTTTGTTGAAATTCAGCTGAGTTGTATTTAAATTGGGAAATTTCTAATTAAAATAAATTTAAAGGGAAGGGGGTGGCCTGGGGGTGCAGCTCAGTGGTAGAGCACCTGCCCAGCATGTGGGAGGCTGTGCTCAGGCCTCTGCACTGCAAACAAATAAACAAAAACAAAAACAGAACAAGGATTTCCAGGCAATGGGTCTGCACCTCACCCCCCACCCCCAACAACAGCAGCATTCCAACAGTGACAATGGAGCTGGCATCTGCTCTTGGACTCAGACCTGGCTCCTCGGCCCCTCCCCCCATTCACTTCCAGATCCTGCTGGGCCCTGGAAGCACCTCTCTTCATGAGCCTGGTAAACTGGATTTAAGATGAGCTAGGAGACTGTTCAGTGAGGTCAAGTGACGTGTGTGAAGCCTGCAGTGGTGGGCCCTGCCCCCTGGTCTAGCACCTGTTCCACTATCAGTGACAGCAAGGACTTCATGTGCATCTTCCCCACCACCCACGACCCCTCTTCAGAAAATCCTGTTATCATCCCTACTTTATAGAGGAGGAAAAGGAGGCTCAGAGAAGGACAGTGAATTGGCCCAAGGTCACCCAAGCATTGAGTGGGAAAAAGGAGGCTGGGCCAGGTCTGGCCCTTCTTTTTTATTTACTTAGTTTTAATTTTGCAGTGCTGGGGATGGAACCCAGGGGCCCTCTACCACTGAGCTACATCGCTAGCCCTTTCTATTTTTTATTCTGAGACAGGGTTGCCCAGGCTGGCTTTGAATTCACAATCCTCCTGTCTTATCATCCTGAGAATCTGGACAGGGATACAGTACCAACCCCCCTCCATGGCAAGTGCCCTTCCTAATGGCTTTACTCACTACCCTGACACCCCCTGGGTCCATCTCACCTCAGGCTCTCTCTGGCAGCCTGGAGGTCGGCCAGGGAGAGGGGTGCAGCTTAGGCTAGGACTAGGATGCTGACAAGACATATCAAAGGCCAAGGCAGCCAGGAACCAGCGGTTCCGGTTCCCCCATGTCTGGCACACGGCAATGAGCACAGCAGGGAGCTACTCCAGACCCATGCCTGAGCTCCTAAGACTGCACGCCTCCTTCAGCACCTCTCCGCACCTAACCGACCTTCAGTCCCACCATCTACACTGTGGAGTTTGCTCTTTGAAAATAGCTCTAGGTTCAATTTCTAGCTCAATGGCACCTACCAGCAATACCTCCTTATTGCTGTGTTCATGTAGGCATGTGTGCTAAGTGTTTAAGGGATCTGCTGTAGACCTGGGGATTGAATGGACTCTGGATCCCATTTTACAGATGTGGAAGCTGGGGCCCCAGGGCCTTCAGCCTGAGTGGCAACACTGGGCTCTGTGACAGGGAGCTATGGATCTGGGCCTGGGCTCTGAGCCACCATACTGACTCCTGACCAGGTCTTTTGGGGGTGGGGTGGGTGGGACAAGTGACCACCTGGGCTTTGCTGGAGTTTCACCTTACTGGAGGCCCCCTCCTGGGCTTCTAAGAGAGATGGCTTTCCAGAAATGTTTTGCCTTGGCAGAGGAGGGGAGCCTTGTGTCCCTGCTCCCCACTCCACCCATCTCCTTGCTCAGTAACCTCAAGGTACCTCTGCGGTCAGCAAGGTGTGCCCCTCCCCCAGCTGCGGGAAATGGAGGATGAGGGTGAGGGGTATGGTGTGTGGGGGGGGGCTCAACCTTCCAGGCTGTGAACTTCTTCGGGATCTTTAGGTTTGAAAACCTTTTCAAGTGCTTTCCAACACTATCTGAGATGACCACATCCTGGTGCCGTCCCTCAAATGGGCCACAAAAACCACAGTACAGATTGGCTGGGGCAGGGTGGGGGTGGATGCTGGCTGACATTGGGTACCTACTATGTGCCGGGCTCGGTACCAAACACTTGCCTCCTATTATCTCAGTAGTTCCTCCCTGAGCCCTCTGAGGAGTAAGAAAACCAAGGTGCAGGAAACGACTTGCCTATGGTCACCAGGGCTGTTAGGTCCAGGTTTGGACCCCAGGCTAGGAGTCCCCACTCTTCCAAGCTGCTTGGGAAGGCTTTCAGGATTCAGAGTGGGGAAGGCTGGGGCTTGGATACTTTCTTGATCCTTCTTTGGACTGGCTGCGTTAATGTGGGTGTGTCTCCTGTGTTTTTCTGAGCCTCGGTTTCCCCATTTCTAATAGGAAGTACTATTTCTACCCCTCTCCAACTCGCCGAAGTGGACAGAGGGGCTGAATTTGAATGTGCAGGTTTCCCATGTTCTTCCGGATGGAGGTGGGGGCACAGAGTCCCTCTGCAGCACCGGATCACTAAGTCTTGGGCTTAGGGGTCTTCCATCCATAGGCCTGGCTCACCGACCCCATGCCTGGCCCAAATTTACAACCTCGATCAGTCCAAGGGTCCTCTCTGGCTCTTGACGCAGTCTAGGGCCTTTTGGGGACGGGGTGCAACATGCCCCTCAGAATGGGAACAGTTCCTGCAGACCAGCGTTCTTGCCTGAGGAATCGCCCAGGGAAAACAGGGACAGTACTGTGGCGGGCTGACCTGGAGCCCTGAGGGTTGTGCAGCCAGGGCAGGGGCAGGGAGTACGGTCAGGGCGCTGAGTGTGAAAGTGAGGGCCGTGGTGCCGCGCGGGCGCAGGGGAGGTGTGTAAATAGCGGGGTGAGCCGCGTGTGTGCACACGCGTGAGGGCGTGCGGGCGCAAGGCGGTGCGCAGTGCGCGAAGTGGCTGGGCCGGGTAAGGGCGCCGTCGTGCTCTGTGCCTGGCGTTGGTGTGCAAGCGCAGCGCTGGGGTGCAAGCGCGCGGAGTGTGCGGGGCCCCGGGTCCCGGGCGCGGGGAGAGGGACTGCGTGCGTCCGCGCCCTAGGCGCGGATCCCCGCGGCGCGCTGGGGTCGGCCCGGTGCATACTCACCCGAGGGGCCGCCGCTCTGCCTGGGGCTGACTCCGGCTCCCTGGTCCCGGCTCGCGGCTCCCGGCCGGCCTTCTGCAGCGCGCACGCACCGGCGCCAAGCCCGGCAGCCCGCGGCAACGCCACCCCTGCAGTGTCTCCTGGCGCCCTCCTCGGAGCAGCGCGGTGCGGGTCGGGGGCTCTGCCGGGCCGGGGCGGCGGACGGGAGCTGCGCCGCAGTCCGGGCACGCTCCCAGGAGCCCGCCGCGCGCTCCCTCGCGCTCACCCGCCCGCCCGCTCCCTCTTTAATTTAAAGTGACAACCCCGAGCGCTCTCTCCACTCGCGGGAGCGGCGTTGCCGGGGTCTGAGCCGGAGATGCCCAAGCGCGGCCGGGGGTCCCGGGTGAGGAGCGCCCAAGCCCAAGCTCAACCTCTCTCCCAGACCCCGGGAGGGCGAGGGGTGGGTCTTCACAGGCTCGCCAGAGCCTCTGAGAGGGTGGTAGAGCACTGGACGCAGACGCGGCAGGCCTGCGTTCTAGCTCCAGCCTGCAGCGCCCCGGGTTATCCTGCTCCCTTTCTAGACCTCAGTTTCTTCATCTGTAAAACGGACCCGCTGTTGCCAACCTCCCGGAACCCAAAGGAAACAGCCCGACAGGCAGCGCAGCGGGAAGGTTCCCCTTCTTTGAATGGATAAGTGGATAATCCACGCCCCCTCCATGATTGAGCTGTTATCAGGCCAGATCCGAGCTGGTGGCTCACAACACCATCTCTTAACCCCATGATGACCTAATCAAATCCTAGTCACGCCATTGTCATTAACAGGACTCAAGCGATCAAGGTCACGGTGCCAAAGGTCAGGGACACAGCATGAACCCAGGTTTGTGTGAGTTTAATACCCTCCCTCTTAAACTCTTAAGGGTCGTGCTTTCTCTCCCAAAGGAATGAATGAATCATTCAGGAGATACTTAAGACGCCCCCGCTGGCCTCTTGGCATTGTGCCAGGTGTGGGCGATCTTCCATCTTCCGGGAACAGGGGGACAGGTCCCTCTCTGCCCGCGCAGTCTGGCAGGAGACACGGCACGCATCAGGAGGGGCTGGGTGTGCGGGGGAAGGCGCCACGTGTTGTGAGCCCAAGTAACGAGGAGAGCAGGCTCGGTGGGCACCTGGAGAAGCCTCTGGGAGGATCTGGGGTCTGGTGGGGAAGGCGGATGAGGATCCCAGACGCAGAGCCAGTGTTCGAGGGCGATCGCGCTTCCTGGACCATCCAAGCTCTGGCCTCTGGATCTGGGAGCAGCCTGTGGACAGAGCCTTCTCAGTAGAGGCCAAACCTGTGCTGGTTGTGGAGAGTGAGCATCCTGGGTCTGGCAGGCAAGACCTTGGGGATCTAGGACAAAGAAAGGACTGCAGGTTCACCCTCACCGATAGGGGACGCCCTGGTTTTCATGACATTTCTTGAACCTGGAGGAGAATGGACAGAGTGCTTTAGGTATGTCCTGGAGCTGGGGAGGGGCTGGGTGCCAGACCAAGGGCTTTCACAGTTTCCATTTAATATCCACATCCACCAGCAGCTTCGGTAGACTGTGCCCATTTTCTAGAGGACAGAGGACACCTGAGTCCTGCAGAATGCCTGGGTTTCCCTTTTGGGAGGGAGTGGGGTGTTACACATACCATCCATATAAAAGGGCAGACTTAATATGATATGTGAAGAGCTTTATAATGTTTTGAACAACCAATAAAAAAAATTAAAAAAAAAAATATATGATATGTGAAGAGCTTTATAATGTTTTGAACAACCAATAAAAAAAATTTAAAAAAAAAAAAAAAGGGCAGACTTGATAAGGGCTTCTGTAGGGTCAAAAAGTGGTAAAGTTGAGGCTGGTCCAATTCTGGTGTGCCCCTGGGGAACTGGAATGAGTGTAAGATGAAATCTTATCCATTTCAAGTTTAAAATCCTCCAATGACCAGAAAAGCAAATGCATGTGCACCAAAGACAGACCAAGAGTGTTCACAGCAGCCTCCAACTGGAGACCACAAACGCCCACCAACAGTTGAAAGTGCAGATGTCCTCTGGTACCTACAGCCACACCCTGGAATACCATGCAGCAAAGAGGAGAAGCAGAATCGTAGCTGCTGATGAGCGGCAGGTGAACCTCACAACCATGACACTGAGAGAGAGAAGGCAGATACTAAAGGACACATGCTGCTCAATTCCATTTTTAGGAGATTCAGAAACAAGCAAAACTACTCTGTTCTGTTAGAAGTCAGGATAATGGTTCTCATGGGATTGGGGTCACAAAGGGGCCCAAAGAAGGTGCTAGGGTTGAGTATGGTTCCAGTGGTCCCCTAAGAGTTCGTATGTTGGAGGTATGGTCTTCAGTGTGGTGATGTAAGGGTGGTGGGACTTTTCCAAAATGGGACCTGGTGGAAGGTCGTTGCCCTTGGAAGGGATAAAGGGGTTGTATGAGACACTGGTGAATTTTCTTGAAAAGGTTGTTATGGAGGAGCAAGACTGTGGTCTCCCAGGTCTCTTTAATTTCCTGTCTTGCCATGCAATCTCTCTGTCTCCCACCATGATGCCATCTGCCATGATGTGACATAGTCAAGAGGCCAAATCAGTGGGGCTACCCAATCTTGATCTTTCAGTCTCTAAAACCATGAGCGAAATAAGCCTCTTTCCTTTATGCACTATCCAGTCTCTGGTATTTCATTAAAGCAACAGAAAATGTACTAAGACAGGGGAATTCTGGGGTGCTGCTCATATCCTGGCTGGGATCTCAGTGCAGGTCTCCCAGGAGATTTTTTAGGAGATTCAGAAACAAGCAAAACTATGTTTGTCGTGTGAAAATTCATGGCATTGAACACTTCTGACTTGTATACTTCTCTTCATGTGTGATATGATTCAACACAATTTATAAAAATACCTCGTGTGTCTGCAGGCTGCACTGGAAATACAAGCCAAAAGCCCTCTGTGGTCCATGAGGCCCTGTGTGATCTGGCCCTTCTGGCCTTGCTCGGCTGTCGCAGCACTGCCCCTCACCCACCAGGCTCCCACCACCTGCTCCTTCTGGCTCTTCTGTCACTTGCCAAGCTATTTTCCACCTCAGGGACTCTCACTTGCTGGTCCCTCTGCCTGGAAAGCATCTTCCTTGCTGTGGCCACGACTGCATCTTCTGTCTTCCATGCTTCACCCACCTTGAGGAGCCTCTCCAGCCCCACTAACGCTTCCCACCAATCACAGTTTAGTTAAAACACAAGCTCTTCTGGGTGCAGTGGCACGTGCCTACAACCCAGCACTCATGAGACAGGCTGGGGGTCATAAGTATGAGGCCAGCCTGGGCAACTTAGCCATTTGCTGTCCTAAAATAAAACAAAAAGGGCTGTCAGTGGGAGAGTACTTGCTAGCATGTGCAAGGACTGGTTTCAATTCAAAGCACCTAAAAATCAAAAACAAAAATAAGAACTTCCAGCTATAATCTGCTATTATGTCTTTGTTTACAGTTCATTTTCTGTTTTTTTTTTAGAGGGGGGGGAGAGAGAGAGAGAATTTTTTAATATATATATATATATTTTTTTTGGCAGACATAACATCTTTGTTTGTATGTGGTGCTGAGGATCGAACCCGGGCCGCACGCATGCCAGGTGAGCGCGCTACTGCTTGAGCCACATCCCCAGCCCCTACAGTTCATTTTCTGTAACCCCCACAAGACTAATAATTGAAAACAACATGGCATCCTTACTATTAGATTAGGGCCAATGGCTTTTTAAAACCAATTTAAGGCATTGATTCCTCACCCCAAAACTTTGGGGAAACACTATTCTTAGCTCCATTTTAAAGTTCAGGCACACAGGGCTCTGAGATGTTATGTAACTTGCTCATGGTCACACAGCTGGGAAGCAATGGAGCCAGGATTTGAACATGCACAGCTTGGCTCCAGAGTACTTACTGTTAAATTTACACTTGGACAGACTTTGTCAATCTTCTCTGTTGTTGTATAGCTGGGGCTGTCCGGGGCATCTGGGATCTGCTGGGATGCAGTTGGAATGCAATGAGTGTTTGCTGGGAGGACATGTGAATGAGTGAGTCGAGGAAGCACTGAAGGATGAGAAGTGGGGTGGGGGTAGCTCGAACCCAAGTGAGTGAGAGGAGAAAAGCCATGGTATCTGGAGTCTCACCAGCAGCTAACAACAGATGGAAGTCCCAAGACAACTGGAATTAACCACAAACCCTGGTCAGGGGCAAGGCCTGGCATGGGCCTGACAGCACTTGGCCTCCCCTGCCAGGCACAGAGACTGTTTCCAGAGGGGCCTCTGCCTGGGGTCCCTGCAGTGTGTAAGCCGCTGGTAGGTGATGCTACCCTTCAGGTACCCAGGCTGCAGGGACCCCAGAGAGGTGATATGAATTAGCTGCCTCTGGCCAGAGGCTCTCCAGACCTTTGGACTCCTAGGATTAGGAAGGTCCCAAGTGACTTAGAATCCAAGCTGTGGCTGTGGGACCAGTCAGCGAAGACCACAGCGCTGGTGACTCATCCTTCTTGAGCTGCCTTTCTGTCCTCAAGCCCTAGGAGCCGGGGCCAGCTGCATCGCTACTTCCTGGCTGTCCTGGTGGCGATGTCCATGGCTGTCCATTGACCTGGAGTGAACCCATATGCACCGCCTCCCAGTGCTATCCTCCTCATTCTCCACTGGCCTCCAGGACAATTGAGACAGGTTCCTGAGGACTGAGGACACCCCAGGTGTGGCATTGCACTGAGGTCTGGCCCCCTGGGGGTGCTTTGTGCAGTCAGCCTTAGGTAAAGATAAACAAAGACATAGAGAAGGGCATGCCAGTCGTGACCACAGGCTGCAGCATTCCGAGACAGGACTGCTGGATCGTGGGCCCCAGGGACACTGCTCTGGCAAGCAGCTGGCTATTTTCCAAGGCCTGGCTTAGCTCATGGGGCTCTGGTCACTTGTCTGCCCTGCATCCCCTGCAGGCTGGACCATTTAACTTTTTTTTTTTTTGTACTAGGGATTGAACTCAGGGGCACTCAACCACTGAGCCACATCCTCAGCCCTTTTTATATTTAGTTTACAGACAGGGTCTCACTGAGTTGCTTAGGGCCTTGCTAAATTGCTGAGGCTGGCTTTGAACTCACGATCCTCATGCATCAGCCTCCTGAGCTGCTGGGATGACGGACCACAGTGCCCAGCTTAATTTTTAGAGAGGCTCAGCCCAGTACTCTGAGGTCAGGCAAATGTGTACTTGAATTCTCACACCAGACAAGTGGCTCTGACTGGAAGCTCTCGTCTACAAGGGGGGATAAAGCTGCCCCCACTCCTCAGGTCGGAGGAATGTTACCTCCCCCGAACATTCCCTCTGAAGTAATAACAACAGAGTTTACACAGCACTTGACGCTGTGTGAGCACTTTCTCTCCCAACTCTTACAACACTTGGTGATCATCCCAGTGTGTGGAAAGGACAATGGAGCTGGGCACAGAGAACTTTCCAGAGCTCGTGGGTGGAGCAGAAGGTTCCTCTGGGGCAGTGTGGGGTACTGGGTGGGGAGTCCTCAGAGCTGTGGGCTCCCTGGGGATGGCTGAATAGGAGTGAGCAGACCCAGGATCCCATGACTGAGACTCACAGTGCTGGAGCCCAGCCTCCCCGTCCTGTCATCAAGCAGGCTCAGGAATAGGGACTGTGGCTCCAAAACAGGCCTGTCCTGCAGACTTTATGTGCCCCTCTCGGTGGATAAAATACACTCCTCTGAGACTCTCCTGATGTTTTTAAAGAAACGCCAGGCTAGTATCTATTATTTATGTGTTTATTTATTTTGGTATCAGGGATTGAACCCAAGGGCACTTAACCATTTGAGCAGCATCCCCAGACCTTTTGATATTTTATTTAGAAGCAGGTTCTCGGTAAATTGCTTAGGACATTGCTAAGTGGCTGAGGCTGGCTTTGAACCTGCAATCCTCCTGCCTCAGCCTCTGGAGCCACTGGGATCACAGGCATGTGCCATCGCTCCCAAGCTCGGATCTAAAGGACTGAAGTTCTCTCTCTTCCAGGAGCCTCTCTGGAAGACTCCAAGTCCACTCATAACGCGGGGAAAAAGCCCTTCCTCCCCCCCTTCCCACACAGCTGCTCTGCCCAGAAGGAGCCACTCGAGCCCCCCCAGCTGTCTGCCAGTCCTTCACAGACCCCCGTCCTCCTGATAGCCTGTGTCTTTATGATATCTTTCTCTAGCCATGAGTTCTTGGGCTTTCCGTGCAAATCCAGCCAGGCCTCTGGCTTCTCTAACCCCCTCTCATCGGCCTCCCGAGGTCCCGAGCCCACTAGGCCAGTGAGGGAGGACGCACAGGCCATGGCCCTCCTAAGTCCCAGTGACTCTGGCCACACTCCTGGGGAGCTCCACAGGCAGGGCCGCTGGCCAGGCCCTTGCAGAGCCTCGCTGTGTTCACCATCTCCCCCCGTCCTGGGAGGGGGAGGCCGTTCCTGGTCTAGGAGGAATGGATCACCAGGCCTGGCTCTGGATCCTGAGCCCTTCTGTCCTGAGACGTCCTTTAACTCACAGGGAAATGTTTGGAAATGGTGGCAGGTGTCACCAGCCAGGGCTGGGCAGCCAATGAGCCTGGAGCCGGCACAGGCCTGGTGAGATGGAGGGGCAGGAGCCCGGGATTGGGGGTGGAACCCAGGGAGGGGCCGGGGGATCTGAGGGCCCATGGGGTTCCGCTGCCCACCTCCAGCTACAGCCCAACGCCCACTGTCTGGACACCCGTGTCCCTCAGGGCCAGAACATCAGCCTTGGAGCCCAGCCTCAGGCAGGGTCCCCAGAGGCCATCCCGCCACCCCCTGCCCACGAGGGAGCTTGGGCTGGAGTGAGCACAGATGTTTCTGGGGCGGAGGTAAAAGTGAGTGAGGTTCCTCTGCTGGGTAAGTCCTAACGATGGTCTCACTTCTTCTAGCCTAGGAGGGAGCAAAACATTTTCCCTGGTCCCAGTGAGCCAGAAATCACTGGTGGACCAGTCTCATCGCATTTTCCCACCTGTCACTCCAGCCTCTCATCCAGCTGCCACATCCCTCAGGCCATATGCTTGAAGCTTCAGGCATAGTCCCTACTCATCATCCCCCAGACACAACCCTTCCTTTCTTCTCTTCCTTCTCCCTCTTTTTTGGAACTGGGTATTAAACCCAGGGGTGCTTAACCCAGAGCTACCTCCTCAGCCCACCCCCACACACACTTTTTTTTTTTTAGCTAAGTTCTCAGTAAATAGCTTAGAGCCTTGCAAAGTTGCTGAGGCTGGCCTCTAACTTGCAATCCTCCTGTCTCAGCCTCACGAATCGCTGGGATTACAGGCGTGTGCTGCCCCACCAGGCATGAAATATTTTCTTGTCTCTAACTTTTGCTCAGTGCAGTTCCTTTTGCCTCTGTCTGCTTCTTTCCAAATGATATAAACTCCTCTTTATCTTTCAAAACCCCATTCGTAACTGCTCCAGCAAGCCAGTCTCAGCCATCTCCCACGTACCTGGCATATTCACACGGTGTCTTCTCTAGAATCATTCACTCTGTGCCTGCCCCTAGTGGATGCCAGGCATTTGAAGACCAGATGTCGTGTCTTTTTTTTTTTTTTCTTTTGGTGCTGGGGATTGAGCCCAGGGGCACTCAACCACTGAGTCACATCCCAGCCCTTTTTATATTTCATTTAGAGACAGGGTCTTGCTAAGTTGCTTAGGGCCTCACTAAGTGGCTGAGGCTGGCTTTAAACTCAAGATCCTCCTGCCTCAGCCTCCTGAGTCACTGGGATTATAGGCGTGCACCACCATGCTGGGCAAATGTCATTTCTCATTCATCTTTCAATCCTTCAGGCCTACCACATAGTAGGTGCTTTGCCAATTAAAAAAAAAAAATCACCGGGCACGGTGGTGCACACCTGTAATCCCAGTGGTTCAGGAGGCTGAGATAGGAGGATGGTGAGTTCAAAGCCAGCCTCAGCAAAGGCAAGGCACTAAGCAACTCAGTGAGACCCTGTCTCTGAATAAAATATAATATAGGGCTAGGATGTGGCCAAGTTCCCCTGAGTTCAACCCCTGGCACCAAAAAAACAAAAAAACAATCAAGAACCCCCATGTGTCAAGTCCGTGCCTTCTGTGTATTGACTCTCAATCCTCCCAGTTGCCCCTTTGATGAGGTTTCCAGTACCAACCCCCAATTCACACATTTGGAATTGGGGGCACCTAGAGGTTACAAAATGTGGCCAAGAATAAACACTAAGGGGTGGCAGAGGTGGGATTCAAGCCCACAGTGAGGAGTGGTCACAACCAGTTACCAGAACAAACAGACCAGGAAGGGAACTGACAGGAGGAGAAAATCAGGGGAAAGGGGGACTTCCTCAGACGGGAGGAAGTGCTCCCCCTCAGAAATGAGGAGAAAAATCCCTCCATCTAAATCCAGCCTTTTAATAAAGAATCCATTCTCCGCCCCCCACACTCTCATTACTGCCTCCCACTCAGGAACTGAGAATTCTGTGTAAAAATAGCAAAGCTGAAGGAGTTTGCAGGAAGCGCTTGCACAGCGCCCCACAGGGCTGTGACCTCTGATGCGGGTGGCTCCAGGGTCCTGTAGAAGCTGAGTGGGAGGGCCCTGAGCGAGGGTGGGGGACAG